CTCTTTTTGATGGATTGGGTTAAGGGTAAGAGAGAGAGGAAAATGCCAATAAGAAGAATGAGTATGTAGGTGGACGGGGTGGCTAAAAATAAGCAGGTTTGCTATGAGAGAGGTAGGGGAACAGCGTCACAAGCTGAGTTCTAGACTAGTTAATTTTGTGTCTAGGCATACATAAGCAAGTTGGAAGATGGATCCACAGATCTGGGAGATTACAAGTATTTTGGAGTTGTCAACATACAGACAGAATGTGAAGTCACAGGAATGAGTATCACCCACAGAAAGCAGGTAAGTTGAGAAGTGGGAGAGGAGAAAAAGCAAAAGATGATGAAGGAAAAAATCCTCAAAGGAAAGTTTATGATCACACCACCTCTTTTCCCCATCAACAAATAAACCCAAGTGACCTGTGTTAATTAACTATGGCTATTATTATCAAAGTGACTTATTAGTGATTACCAATGCAGAGCACAACTAAAGGATGAATATCAACAGCTAAGAAAAGGATTAAAGATAAAAAATATGTACAAGATGCCCCACGCCACATTACCAATAATGCAAATAATGACAAGAATTTGCACTTATTCCTGAAAGGTTTCCAAGAGCAAGAAAAAGAATAGCTAAATGAATAAGCAATTACCATAAAATGAGATATTAAAATAATAAATAGCAGTAACAAAGGAAAAAAGCCTTGGCAATCTGTATTAGGTGGGGGAAGTAGGCTTAAAAGCAACAAGTATATACCAATGACCTGATCAGAAATTGTAAAGCTGGCTAGTTTTATCTTCAGTCCACAATCAGAACCTCCCTCATCCCCCTTATTTATTCTCTCTGTATTATATGAAAAACAAAACAATAACCACAAATTTACATTTAAGAAGCAGCGTCCTGAATAACTGTATGCTAGTAGTGTGTCATATTACACTGGAAGTATCCACCTCAAAAAACGACTCCAGATCGCTCTGCAGCCGCCACTCTCCTCAGAGCACCACATTCGCTGGTGCTTACATAATAGCAGTATCAGGCTACTACAAGCTTCTAAATGTTTTGAATTAATACGTTTTTCATATAGGATGGATCATTTATCATTCCATACTTAAAGACATATACAGTTAATATTTTCCTCTTCTACAAAATCTATACTCATTAGCAAATAACTGCTCCTTTGATGTTTTCTCCAGTCTTAAGTTTTCTAAGCTCCAGATAAGCCTTTCCAGTTTACAGTAGTCCCCTATTACCTGCAGAAGATTAGACCAAGACCCCTCTGTTCAAAAAACCCATATATCTGGGTTTTTTCCATCTGATAATTGAGACAGCTATTAAGTGACTAAGGGGTGCAGGGGGTGGGCAGAGAGTGTCTATAGTGTGGCTACATTGGACAAAAACAATGACTCATGTCCCTGGTGGAATGGAGTGGGATGGCAGGAGACATCACCACGAAACTGAGAATACCATGCAATGTAAAACTTATGAATTCTTTATTTCTGGAATTTTCCATTTAATATTTTTGGACCACAGTTGACCACAGGTAACTGAAACCATGCAAAGTGAAACCAAGGATAAGGGGGCTATTGTATTTTCCATTACTAACTTTGTTTCCTTCACATCCAGCTGCTATTTCTTTACCAAACCTCATCTATTATTATCTTCCAAGCTCTACCCTAAAACTTAATGACTTGAGAAAACTCTCCCAGATAAGCCCAGCTTTCACTCAGTCACTCTTTTTCTCCAAATGTCTATGTAATTTTTAACTGTTATTTTTGCACTGTTTTATAATACCATTATACCACTTCACAAACATAAACTATGCTTTCTCCATGATACTATCGGCTCCCCTCAGGACATGATCTCTCATTTCCCATTTCTCCTACTCTTGCTGGGATTCTGGCACAACACTCTACCCATAATAGATTTGCAACAAATACCTAAACATAATGACTCATTAATAGAACATATCTGGTCAGTGAATAGCTACTGCATGCCAGGCACTGAGATTACAAAAATTATTTTTAAAAAGCTCCCTCTCTTTGGATTGTTGGGTGAGGAAGCAGGGTAAGGAAGGCATCCAAGAGAGGGCAGTGAGACAGAAGATTAGTTACACACAGGCAGGTTGATCAAATAAGAAAAAATATTCAAGATAATGACAGCTGTGTTTCTCACTGTAAAAGAAGGGAATTAGACATTTAAAATTTGAAAACTAGACTTAACCCTTAGGAGTACAATCAGAATTGAAAGTATCACTGCTGTGAACTCTGAATTTTCGGTTATATCTGTGTTCATTTGAGCATGCATGTATACACATGTATGTACATATATATAAATTCATGTATGTAAATACTTAAATATATTCTATATCTGTCCACTGAGAGAACTTGGGAGCAGTAACATCACAAAAGCAATAAATAACAACTAGCACCTAGGCTTACACATAAATACCGTTTTCCACCAAAAGGAATCAGGAAGCATTGAAGAAATGACTGCTTCCAATCCTGAGACAAAGAACATGCAATGACAACCTGGGAAATCCTGTTCTGCCAAAAAGCAAGGAAGTCCTCAAAGAATAATGGGGACATGCAAAAACATAAAGAAGTTTGAAGGGGCCAAATCAGGAAAATTTTGAGCATCAAAATAAACAATGACAGTAATAGATTAAAACTCATTTAAGTAAAATTAAAAATCATAAGCCGAATACATAAAAATTTAAGGATGAATAAATTAAAAGTTGGATGATAGAATACTGACAGTTTCAAAGTATGCCCATAAAAATATGATTACAAAAGAGGAAAAATCTAACTTCATAATGGAGAAGTTTGGCAGATATCATCTTAATTAAATCACCAAAGGGAACGTCTTGAGTAATGGGACAAATTAAAACTGTGCTCTACGATAAAATACAATGAGAAGCAAATAGTATCCATGACAGTCTTGCCAAAGATGCATAAGCTGAATATAATCATGCAACACAGACAAACTCAGATTGAGGACCTTTAATCCTCAAAAGTGTCAGGATACAGAAGTCAAGGAAAAGTCAGAACTATGTAGAAAATTCAGTTAAGACAGACAAAGAAGAATGATTGCATGGAAGAAGTAGTGACTGGTTTGCTTACATCAACAAACAGGAGAAAGAACTACAATAAAATTTCAAAAGAAAACTGAATTTGTAATTGGCTATTATTATTATTATTTTTTTAAGGCACAGTTTCCCTCTGTTACCCAGGCTGGAGTACAGTGGCATGATCTTGGCTCACTGCAACCTCCACCTCCTGGGTTCAAGCCATTCGCCTGTCTCAGCCTCCTAAGTAGCTGGGACTACAAGCAAACACCACCACGCCCGGCTAATTTTTGTATTTTTAGTGGAGATGGCATTTCACCATGTTGGCCAGGCTGGTCTGGAACTCCTGACCTGACCTCAAATGATCCGCCCACTTCCCAAAGTGCTGAGATTATAGGCGTGAGCACTGCGCGTGGCTTGGTTTGTATTTTTACATTTATGCAATGATAAGGATGAGGAGTTCTTAACCTTTTTTGTGCCACAGTCCCCTTAAAGAGTCTGATGAGGCCGATGAACTCCTCATAATACTTTTAAATATATAAAACAAAATAAATATGATTACAAGGGAAATCAATTATATGGAAATACAATTATCAAAATGTTAAAAACATATTTGTGATATAGCAGTATATGTGATTTCTTTAAGATATGTGCTTTTCAATATATATATATATATATATATATATATATATATATATATATATGCTTCTTTTAAAAGAGTGAGACCAGTGCAGGGTCTAAACATAACCATAGTTGTGAAGTACCAGTAAGTATAAACGATATTTCAGTATATCTAACGCAACAGTAATGTGTCTGTTGACTACATGTTAAGAATACATGAATTAAAACTGAAAAGGAGGCTTAAATATCAGTGAGATTTGATGATCTTTCTATTCGTTTCCATTCTTGATTACTTTGAAGGGTAGAAATGCAGGTGATTATTACCACATTTATGAAGAATGGAGTTCCAAGTAATGTTTGCCATACCTAAAACTGCTATACTGATATATACAACAGTATATAGCAATAAATTTAAAAATTTGGTGACACGTTAATGCCTAACAACAAAAATCATGAAGTTTCTATAAAATGAGACTATTTTTACCCATATACAAAAAACTATAAAATGCTAATATCTGGCATTATAATTAAGAATTCTGATTCTAAATTATTCTCTGAGCCTATAAGTTATCAAATTTGTATATAATAAATTTTAGGAGAAAAAGACTACCTATTTAGAAGTATATTTGGAAGATGGAGTTAAATTTTCAGAGGAATGCTAAATTAGCTGTTTCTAATCTATATAACAAGAAGGACACTGAACAACTATCAGTTGTGTAGACATCAACAAAATCTTTTGGAATATTCTTGTCTTTAAGCCCTCTTTTTTTGGTTGTTGTTGAGAAGGAGTGTCCCTCTGTTGCCCAGGCTGGAGTGCAATGGCGAAATGTCGGCTCACTGCAACCTCCACCTCCCAAGTTCAAGCGTTTCTTCTGCCTCAGTCCCCCGAGTAACTGGGATCATAGGTGCCCTGTACGATGCCTGGCTAATTCTTGCATTTTTAGGAGGACGGGCTTTCACTACATTGGCCCGGCTGTTCTCAAACTCCTGAACTAAGGCGATACACCCCACTCAGCTGTCTAAGCCCTCTTAATTTAGATATTAGCTAAGTACGATATTTCTCACACTGTTCATTTTGGAGCTAAAAGTAAACCATTACAACCACTAAAAATATTTGAAATGCATTTTTATTAAAATCTCATGCAAATATCAACATTAAAAGAATCAGCGATACAATAATTTGGAACAAATATTAGATGTATTAACTTAATTATATCAATTCTAAACATGGTCTTGCCTGTCAAAATTTCTATGTCCCTTCTGTGATAAGCTATTTTAATGAAGTCTAATAATACACTACAATGTAATAAAAGAATAAACAATTTTGTCCTACCTAGTTACTTTGCAGCTTGATTCAATTAAATCATTTTCAAAGTCAAGCAGGCTGGAAGGCAGATTGTACTCTAGTGGAGATGTCAGTCTTTTCAAACGTAAAAGACCAACACAAAATTTTGCTCCCATCTCTTCCAATTCTCGGGTACCAATCTGTAAACCCTTGAAATAAAGAAATATTATGCATATAATTACAAAGTTTGCTATCTTCTGGCTACATCTCAATGAAATTATATAAAAGAATGTGTAACTATATTAATAAAATTAAAAGGTTGGTACTTTGTATGGAACTAGGACTCAACAAGCTTAATGTCTCAACAATACAAGTATTCTAAGTCACAAAGGAAACTAACCTAAAACACAACTCCTAAAATGTCTATTCCCTTTCACTATAATGCAAACTATTTTCAGCATCACAGTAGAGGGGAAAAAATACATTAACACTTTGTGGTTAATGTTACTTGTAGAATTCATGTGAATTTAAACTATTTAAACCAAAAAGTTGAAAAAACAAAAAAAATTTTAAAAAAAGAATGTAGAATTCATATGAATTCTACAGGTAACATTACTTATAGAATGTTAAAATACAGTTTTACTGCATTTTAACAAGAGCTTATTAGTACTTCTTGTAATCCACTGCTTTATATGCTAATGTTGAAATATTATAGTATGAAAATCAAGGCTCCAATATGAATACTTGAACATTACTTTATAGATACTTCTTCTGTATAAGAGACTCTAATCAATAAAAAACAAATAAAAGGTAACTGTCAAAAAAAAAAAAAAAAGAATCAAATCTAAGCCAATGAAGTAGTAAAATAAATTCCTATGAACCACATCAATTTAAAATGCCCATTTTGAATTTTGTCTACTAAAGAAAAAAGAGTATTTTACCTCAACTTCCCATCTTTTTTAAAAAATGGTTTCCCAATAAGCAATGTAAGGTTTACCAAAAGTTAAATGTTATCACATAAAACCATAAAAATGGCCTGCAATTAATATACTCCTTATCATTTATTTTTCAGATACAAATAAATCCCTAAAAAAAGCAATAGTCTTGTACCTATAAAAGTTGTAGGTGTAGATGACAGTTGATATCAATTCAAGAGAAAGCATTTTAAAACAGCTTTTCAGTGACCAGACTAAGTGAGTTCCTATGGCACACGGTAACTGAAGAAAATGAAATGTAACAACTGTTACTTAACTCTACATGAAGCACATAACTTTACAGTAATTATTTTTCAACTTTTTGGTTTAAATAGTTTGGCCATCTCCCAAATATTCTAGGAAACAGGACCTAGCTGACTTCATTAGAACATTAATTTGGTCTTTCAATTTGTAAGTTTTAGAAAAGTAATACTTGTTTCTGAATTAGTTCACAGACAATAAAAATAAAGAATACTTACAGCCTAAAACTCAGTAGGATAAAAATATTGTTGGTGAAAAAGACTGTTACCTAAAATATTACCACACTCACACACTTATCAGTTACCAAGTTTAAGAGATGTTAAGTGTGTGTGAGGAGGATGGGAATATATGGGAGCTCTGTATACTTTCCACTCAATTTTCCTGTGAACTCAAAACTAAAAAATAAAGTCTATTAGGTTTTTTAAAAGTATATGTTAAGATCAAAACCCTGCATTTTAGATATTAAAGGAAAGCCCTAGCTTAGTAAGACACTTCCTTCAGTAAGAGTTTTAAATCAATGTATACATTATTAACTAAACAGTATCAAAGAAAACTGAGTATTTATTAGGTATCCATTTTATTTGTAGAAGTTTATATATTTAAAGAATAACTTTTAAAATGAGTATTTGTTAGGCATCCATTTTATTTGTAAAGTTTATATATTTATATATCAAAAAACTTTTAAAATGAGTATTTATTAGGTATCCATTTTATTTGTAAAAGTCTGTATGTTTATATATTTTTAAAAACTCCAAAAATGGTTTAACAGTTTATATTTCAAAATCTTAGCTTTTTAAAAATCTTTTTTTTAAAATGACCAAACAAATTTATCAAAATAGAAATCAAAAAAAAAAAAATTTAATTCAATGAAAGTCTATCAGTGGAATCCAAATATAGTGACAAGGCACTACTATTGTATACTATGGATGACTTCAGGGGCATCCAAGTCATCAGTGTCCTGAAAGCTTCTTTCCCCACTGCCCAGAAGCTAGTTTCAGAGACAGTGATGCTCTGAGTCACCTTCTGCAGCCTAACACATAAATCATCTCTTTAAGAAGTCACAGTGTGTTTCCATAAATCAGAAAGCCCAAGGTTTTTTCCTAGAAATCACCTATATTATTATAAAAAAGTGATTCTCAAGTTTTTTTCACATCCCACACACTTACTCAATGAGACCCTTAACAACAGTTGTCCACTGAAGCAATGATCAGGGGACAGGGTTTGGAAGATGGGGTGGTGCTAATGCCACATTTTATCTCTCAGCACCATCATACCCTTGATAAACTAACTGGACTGACTAGAAGTCACTGTTTTTACAATATTCAGGGAGATCTCATATTACACTTTGGAAGAAGAAGAATAGTATATTGTGATCAACCTAAAATTGAGGGAAGAGTCAGATCTCATATTACACTTTGGAAGAAGAAAAATAGTATATTGCAATCAACCTAAAATTGAGGGAAGAGTCACTGAACAGAAAGTACTGGAAACAGAAAGTACTGGAATTTCATAAGTTCTACTTTACTACTACTATACTTATTTCAGTAAGTTCTACTTTACTTTAGTATCACTTACAAAATCAATGTAATTTTCTTCCAGTTTGTTACAGACTGAAAAATTCATTATTTAAGCTCTCCTAAAATATTTCATGACAACTATGTTTACTTTTTAAATGCTATGGAGTTAGATGTTTCTTTTCAAACACAAAGTTATAACAATGTTTATGTGAGGTATATAAAAATCATTCTCAGATTCAGTATCCTCTTTCCCCATAACAAAACAAACAAAATGCAAGGAGTGAAATAATTAGCATGACACCTGAAAATCTATCTGTGCCAAAGCAAGAAATAGAAATACTCAGTTTTGTTCATTGCTTATCTAAAGTCCAATTTATTACACATTAACTCTTCAATCTCTAAAATTAATAAATCCAAAATCACCTAACATTTTACTAGTATTTAATTTCAAAAGTAAAGTTTAAATTCTAATTATGTCCATTAAAAGTCTACAGTACCTCAAATGAGTAGTCTTAGTGAACAAAAAGTTTACTAAAGGGATATACATTTAAAAGTCACACATAAGCCTGGGTGTGGTGGCTCATGCCTATAATCACCGCACTTTGAGAGGCCAAGGCAGGAGGACTGCCTGAGGCCAGGAGTTTGAGACCAGTCTGGGCAATATAGTGAGACCCTGTCTCTATTTTTATTTTTCAAAATATAAACAAACAAACACATAAATAAAAGCTACACATACAAAAACCTAAATATAACTGCTTTATAAATAAGTATAATGTGTTTATTTTAAATGCATAAAAATATATTTATACCCAATAAATTAAAATAGAAAGTTTTGTTAATAATGTACCAGTTGTACAGGTTATTATAAATTACTAATGAGTAAGTGTGTACTCTAACATGCTTTCTTAAAAATTATGACTATAAACAGACTCAAATAACCAAGAATTTCTTAAGGATCCAAGCAAACTATTTAGTTCAGAGAAGTAAAGAAATCAACAAAACAAAAAAATAAAAACCTATTCTTAAGATTGTATATGATTCCACTATTACAAATTACATGTAACTCAATAAAACAAACACCATTTAATATATACTTAAAAACCACAAGATATAAATGAAAGGGAAGTCTTCAAATATCTTTCATAGTTAGAAAACCTGAGATGTTTTACCTTGTATTTTCCCTGATCACAGCCACATAAAGTACTCTCCATGGTATAACTTCTTTGTACTCCTATTTCCCTCCAAACTACAACACGTGCTGTGGATTCTTTAGATTTTTCCACTACAAAGCTACAGCTGCTCATGCAAAATGCTGGGGCAATATGGCTCAGTATCTTAGGCAATGTCTGTTAAAAACAAGAATGATGATGATAAAATAAACCAAGAGGTAGTTTTTAATTTTTAAATGTTTTTCATCTTTAAAAGTTTCGATGAAAACACAGTAATTAGAGCAAAGCCATGTGGAGGTTCTATTATATATCCCTTGTCATTAAAACAGCAAAACATGCCTCTTAACTAATTTTGAATTTTCTGCTTTTCTAAACGAACATAGTATCCAGTTAGAAAACACAATGGAGGAATCATATTCACAGCATAAACAATAAGCAAAATAAAATCATTTGAGAAAACCATGTCTAAAAATATGAAAAAAGTTTAAAATGTGAAATTTAGTCATAAAAGACTTATTGAGATATTTAACACTGTAAATGCCAGTCATCCCTAAATTAATTAATAAAGCTAGACAATCACAATCAAAGCTACCCCCAAGTTTTCTGCAACTGAAATTATTCTCAATTTCACCTGAAAGCATAAATATAGAAGTACACCCTGAGAAATTGGGGTGGGGGGAGGCTATGACTGGAGAAATAATCCCACATATCAAACTAACTTATAGATATTAAGTTAAATTGTGATACTGATAAAGGAACAGATACATCTCTAGAAAGAAAGAGAGCTCAGAATTAGAACCCAATGCATTAAACTTATTATCATCATTATTATTAGTGGAGAAAAGACTGATCATTCATTAAATATTGACACCACTGGATAGCCATTAAGAAAAAAAGCTGTTCTTTATCAAACCATCTAAGCAATAAATGTTATATTTTAAAAGTGGCAAAAAAAAAAAAAAAAAAGAAAAACAATCTAAAGTCATTCTTCATTAAATTCTAGCTGGATTGAGAATGTAAACTTAAAATTAATAAATATTTTAAAATGAAACTAGAAATAGTAAAACATGGTACTGTACTTTTAAAACTTAGGATGAAAAAAATCTTTCTAAAGCCTCAAAACCCCAAAAACAATTTATGAAATTAACAAATATGATAAAACTTCATAAAAAATTAGAAAACATATTTGTAATATATAGAGAGAGTTCTTTTTTTGGAGATGGAGTTTCGCTCTTGTTGTCCAGGCTGGAGTGCAATGGCACAATCTCGGCTCACCACAACCTCTGCCTCTCAGGTTCAAGCGATTCTCCTGCCTCGGCCTCCTGAATAGGCGGGATTACAGAAATGCACCACCATGCCTGGCTTATTTTGTATTTTTAGTAGAGACAGGGTTTCTCCATGTTGGTCAGGCTGGTCTCAAACCCCCGACCTCAGGTGATCCACCCGCCTTGACTTCCCAAAGTGTTGGGATTACAAGTGTGAGCCACCACAGCTGGCCTACAGAGTTCTTATTTAAAAAACACTAACAATTATATGACCTATACAAAAGTAAGTAGAAAATATGAGAAAAGGCCATTTCAAAAGACAGAGATCATAACTGGCCAAAACATGGGAAAACTCAACCTTATTTATAATTATAGGTATGATGGTTAACAATCAGATATTATTTTCACCTGGCAAAGATGACAGTACAATGTAATAAGGGTGTGGAAAAACAGTACTAGCATTCATGGTATTTGGTAGTATCAATTTGTACAATCTTTATGAAAGATAATTTGGCAATACTTATTAAATGACTACCAACATAGACTACTAAGTAAGTAAATTTTGGTACAGTCTACAAAAATAACAAAAATACACAATGGAAATCTTTGCCTGGCTGTTTAAAAGACTAAGACAGATTCAGACAGGATGATCTGAAAAGATGATCAATAAATATTATCATGGGAAAAAGCAAGTTGCTGTGCAGTGTTTAAAAAATAAAAAGACAAAAACCGCATATACTACATGCATATCTATATGGATGTGCTCAGAGGCAAGTCTTACAATATACAGGGTAAAACTGTCTAGTGTTAAGATAATGACTAGGAAAAGATGACTTTCACTTACTACTTTATACCTGGAGTGTTTCCATTTTCTATATAATTCTAATCATTTTATTTATTTGGGGAAAGGGAAGGAAAGAGAGGGCACCCCCCCAAAAAAAAAAATGTGCTTTGAAGCTCTGCTAAAAGCAGCAGTAGGTTACCAAAAATGTTTTTTGGAAAATAGCCTAGGGCACTTGTTTAGGCATAACTGTAGGAATAGAGAGAGGCACTGTGACAGAATGGAAAGCACACAGGACTTAAAGCAACACAGCTCATTTCAGTCCTGGGCACACCATATTTTCGCCAAGGCCTCAAGCATGTCAACTGACTCAGATGTCTTAGTGGACTTATTTGTACAGTAGAAATGATAATCCCTATCTACAGCACGGAGCATTGTGAGGTTCCTATGAAACTATACTAAAAGTTATAAGCACAATATAAATAAAGTAATATAATTGTAGATGTTTGTCTATATTTATAATTAATTCATCCATCCATTCAACAAATATTTACTTAATGCCCAAGAAGAATCAGGCATACTTAGTCAAAGAAATAAACAAAAGTCCTAATTTACATTAGTCATCTCATTCAGGAATGATGATCTACTATCCATAATATTTAGCAATATTAAAAGGTACTGAAAAAGCTAATAGTTTTATTGAAGCTAAATCACACATTTTTGTAGCATCACATGCTATGATGTTCACCTTACTGGAAGGATGCTATGATGTTTCCCTTATTGGAAGCAAATATATGATTTAACTTCCATTTTTTAAAAATCCATTATGTCTCAAAATCCAAAACTTTTTGAATGTCAACATGATGCTCAAAGGAAATGCCAGTTGGAGCATTTTGGAATTAGGAATGCTCAAACCAGCAAGTATGATATAAATATTCCAAGAAACAAACAAAAAAATCTGAAATCTGAAACACTTCTAGTCCCAAGCATTTAGATAAGGGACACTCAACCTGCAATAATCAACATTTTTGTAAACCTTTTATTTTAAGCTAATTTTAAACTTAGAGAAAAGTTGCAAAAATAGTACAAAGAATTTTCATTTTTCTATCAACCTGAATGTTAATATCTTAACCACAGTTCAGTATCAGAATAAAAAATTAGAATTGATGCAATACTATTGATAGACCTCATTCAAATAGGTCTATCAATATGTCATCAGTTTTTCTAATGCTCTGTTTCAGGATCCCATCCAGAATCTCACATTGTATCTAGTTATTGTTTCTCTTTAGTCTCCTGCAGTCTGTAACAGTTCCCTTGTCCTTCCATAACTTTAAGAATCTTGATACTTTTGAAGAGTATTGATTAGTTATGTTTTCAAATGACACTCAATTTAGGCCAGGCACCGTGGTTCACGCCTGCAATCCCAGAACTTTGGGGGGTCGAGGCAGGCAGATCATTTGACATCAGGAGTTCAAGACAAGCCTGGCCAACATGGTAAAACCCCATCTCTACTAAAAATACAAAAAAAATTAGCTAGGGGTGGTGGCATGTGCCTGTAATCCCAGCTACTCGGGAGGCTAAAGCAGGACAATCACTTGAACCCAGGAGATGAAGGCTGCAGTGTGCCAAGATCGATCGTGCCACTGCACTCCGGCCTGGGTGATGGAGTGAGACTCTGTAAAAAAAAAAAAAACAAAAAAAAAAAAAACAAAGACACTCCATTTACATGCCATAATTTTTTGTATTTTCCCCTAAGACATAAGCATTTGCACTAAGTAGTACTATGATTTATCATCAGAAACATGGTATTTATGTGTATTAGTCCATCCCTTCCCAACCTATCTGCAAAAACGGGGTTCTATGGTATGGCAGTCGCCACCAAAAATGTCTCAATCCCCAGAATCTAGGAATATGTTATTTTATATGGCAAAAGGGGCTCTCTAGATGTGATTCAGTTAAGATTCTGAGATAGTAAGGTTATCCTGGATTATCTTAGTGGCCCTTGCCATCACAAGGGCTCTCATAAGGGGAAGAGGAAGGCAGCAGCAGGAGAGAAGGAGATGTGACAATGGAAGTAGAGGTCAGATTTGACTCCTGGCTGAACGGGACCATGATGCAAGGAACACAGATATACTAGGGGCCAGGCACCATGGAGAAGAACAAAGAAACAATTCTACCAGAGCCTCAAAAAATAGTGTAGTCCTGATGACATTTTGATTTTAACTCAGTGAACCCTGCATTGGACTCCTGATGGGCAGAACTGTAGTTCTGCTATGTTTCTGATAGTGCTATATAACAACAATAGGAACTAACGATTATAAAATTAAGGGAAATACTCCACTTTCACACACATTTACACCACACATATACACACATAACCCTGGAAATGTAAGATGCTTATTAGCATGTGAAGATTCTGAGGTGTCCTAAAGAAAAGAAACAAAGTTAGCTGTATCTAATGCAATTACCAAATGTAAGTGATTATACAACTATTGGTGAGGGAAGGTGTATGTGAAACAGCTGTTAACATCTTGAGAAATGATATTTGAGGAAAAGTGGACTATTTACTCTAATTACAGCATCACCTTATGTTTCCTTTCACAACAAAAATCAAAAAAATTCATCAAAGAAATTTGGGACAAGATAATTTTAATGAAAAAAACAGACCAAACAGTTAATTTTATCTCTTACAATGGGAAAAATATCTTGCATTTACCTTCCCACACGTCTGTCTGCCATTCATCCAACAACCCACCTAACAACAAATACCTATTGAGTACTTATTATGAATAAGGTATTGTGCTTTATAGTGGCAATATTGACAAAATGAGCAAATCAGACATATTTGCTAGGCATATGGAGCTTACTACCTAGTACAAAGAGAACCCCATTAATCAAATAACATAGAAAATCTTACAATTATAATTCTTAGGTGGTACGAAGGAGAGATAATCCTATAGATATATGATCTGATTTCATTTTGGGGCCTAAGTGAGAATTCCTTGAGAAGTGAAGTATGATTTAAGCAGAAACGACCAGGTGAGGCAATGGTGGCAATGATGGCCCTGTTCCAGAGAGCAGTCTATGGGAAGGCTCTGTGCTTGTGCTCTTCGTCTAGCTTTCTCCCACTCTCTGGGCCTCTCACTAGTCTCATTTTCTTACGTTTATTTATCTGGGTCTCAGCTAAATAGTCCCCTTTACTGTATCACTGACCTCTGCTAATCTAAACTTGGTTTCTTTTATTCAGTGCAGTCTAACGTAATAAAACTCTATTTCTGAAGGTTGTATGGCAGGAACACTTATTGACTGTTGACATGTTGGGCATTTTACATACATTATTGGGGTCTTCCCCATCTTTATCCTGGGCTTTGTCTCTCTCTTGAACTTAATTTCTGTATGCCTTCCTCTTTCATATATTCCTTTACAGTATTTTGGTAAGAATGTCTTCCAGCAGCTTCCAAAGAAAGGCTATTTGTGAGGTAAATTTTTGAGACTTTTAAATGTCTAAGAACATCCTTTTTTATTTTCACACTTGACAGAATGAAGTATGAAATTTATAGGTTAGAAATCTAGTTGAGAATTGTGAAGGCTTTGCACCACAAAGTTTTGCTTCCAGTGTTGCCACTGTGAAATGTGATGCCATTCTTATATGTAATCCTTTGTAGAAGAATCTGAAAAATGTGTAGGAATCTTTTCTGAAAAAAAAAATCAATAGCTTTCCTATGTACCAACAATGATCAATTGGGGGCAGGCAGATATGTGGGGAAAAATTCCATTCCCAACTGCAATAAAATTCATAAAGTATTTGGGAATAAATCTAACAAACATTTCATACCTATGTGAAGAAATTTTATACTTTATTGAATATAAGACTTGACTAGACACATAGGCAATAGTCACAGATGACAATGTTATATATCATTATAATAATTCTCTCCAACTTTAGATTCAAGGCAGCTCTAATGCAAATTCCAAGAAAGTTTATCTACAAACGGATCCTAAAATTCACAAGTACAGAGAAAAAAAAGAGTCAAAGCAATTCTTAAAAGAATAAGAAAAGAAAATTTGCCCTACAATATATCAACATTAATTATAAATCTACAGTAATTTTAAAAATGCTGTTTGCAAAGAGACAGAAACAAGAATGGCTAAAATAATAGCCTCGCCATACACCCATATATGTGAAATAAGGTATGTAACAGATGGCATCATCAAATTGACAGAGGAAGAGATACTATCCAGTTAATGGTGCAAGCCAACTGGTATTCATAGAGAAAACAGAATTAGATCCCTACATCTCACACAAAGATGAATTCCAAATAGATGAAAAATATGAACATGAAAAACTTTTAAAATGAAAAATCTGAAACAAAAATGGCAAAATGTCAACATTTACTGAATCTTAGTTCATATATGTTAATATATGTATTTTCTATACTTTTATGCATGTTTGAAATTCAAAAACTCATGAATGATCTATAATAATTACCCTGTATCCCGTATCTTCCACAACATCACATGAAGTTGCATTATCATTGGTATGCCACACTGTCTCCTTGATGCTGCAACCATACATAAATACGTTTTTCTTTCGGGAATGGCCATGATAATCACAATAAACCTTGAAAAATACATATTTTAAAAATTAAAAGGCTTCATTATATTACTAAGTAAAGGTAGTTAATATCAAGCCAATAAACATGTAGGTCTGTGTTCCTTGGTCTTTTTATTGTAAATAAACATGCCTTTTATTTTTTATTTTTTTAAAAATGATGCTCTTAAAAATTAAATTAAAACCATACCCTTCTTTATGGTGTTTTTTAATAAATAAGAGCATTTTCTTGTTGGTTTTTTTTGTTGTTGTTATTTGTTTTTAAATTTATTTTGTTGTTATTGTTTCTTGTAAAAGAGCCACCATTTAACAATTATGACCAATAAAAGTGGTAATACCTAGTTTGGGAAAGGATCTATAATTAAATCTAGAATTGTCAAATCCTTTAAAGGTCCTATATCACCTTTGTATTTACTATTCACCATTTTTTAAATAATACATTTCATTACAGTTCAAATCTACAGCTGTGGTGACTGCTGCCCCAAATGGTTATAAAAGCATTTACCTAATTTGGCCTGGAGCAGTGCCTCACGCCTGTAATCCCAGCACTTTGGGAGGTGGAGGTGGCTGGATCACCAGAGGTTAGGAGTTCAATGCCAGCCTGACCAACATGGCAAAACCCCATTTATACTAAAAACACAAAAATTAGCCAGGATTGGTTGTGGGTGCCTGTAATTCCAGCTACTTGGGAGGCGGAGGCAAGAGAATAGCTTGAACCTGGGAGGTGGAGGTTGCAGTGAGCCAAGGTCATACCACTGCACTCCAGACTGGGCAACAAGAGCAAAAATTTGTCTCAAAAACAAAATTTTTTTTAACTTAAAAACAAACAACAACAACAATAAATAAAACAAGAAAATGCTATTATTTATTTTTAAAAACATCATAAAGAAGGCCATGGTTCTAATTTAATTTTTAAGAGCATTATTTTTTAAAAAATAAAAAATAAAAGACGTCAATTTTACTCCTCTACAAAGTCTTTCTTTCTTAAAGAAAGGTTAAATAATATACATACTAATATAACAAAAACATTCTAATCAAAAGCTGGTGAGAACAGAAGAAGCATATGTATATAGTTCAGTCCAGTCATGCCTGTACTATATTTCCCATGTGTGTAGTAGAGATTTAACAGCTTCAGAGCTGACTAGAAAACTCAGAATAAGCTTCTAGTTTGAGAATTTGGAAGATACATATTGTTACCTTAGTGTTGTTCAAACAGTGAAGTTAAGTATCTAAAACCAAGAGTTATCAATATTCATAACCAAAAAAGAAAAGTAAAAGGTTTATGAGAATTATAAACATTCAACCTTGTAAAATTAAGAATACGAACATAATGGATGAATCTGACCCAACGATTATTACACAAGTACTTGATAACAAAAAATGACATTTTATCTTTGACTATACCAAGTAAAAACAAGTATTGCTACTTACCAAAGGTAAACGCTTCACTGCAGCCAAGTATTGCAACAGCCCCTTAGCATGGTAAATCGTAGGATGTAAATCCGGATTTGGACTTTGCCACTGCCTATTTAAATCCTCTCCACTTAAAGAACAGCGATGACTACATGTACATAAGCACAAAGACAGAAAAACACTGGTACCAATAAACCCTTACGTACATTTCTGATTTAACTTTATGATTCTATTCCACTAAGCATTTCAAATAGGTATAGATGGTAAGCTCAACCAAATGCATACTATATTCATTAAGTAAACATTTATTGAGTATTTGCTATGTGCAAGATTTTGTGTCGCATTAATTTAACTGTGGTACAGATTCATAATGAAAATTTTCAAAATATGGAAAAAAAAATCCTAATTCTGACTACATAATAATCATTTGTTTTGTTAGCATACTGTATCTTGACTTCATCAGTTAAAGTGTTATCTAGGTGCTTTTTCTGAGAAAGACAAGTATATGAAAAGTATACATTGTTGTAAAATATCAAATACTTTTTTGTTTATCTATGGGTACTAAGTAGGAAAACCATCATGTAAATAAATTATTTAGGCAAATAATCATAAAGTGATGACAAATATAAACAGAATTCTAACTGGTCAATATATTCTCAATTAAAAATAGACATCATTTTAGTTCCATAACATATTAACTAAGAAGAAATTCTGTTTTTAAAAAAAAATCAATAATTTTCTAATACGAGAAATATTCATGCTACTTCTACTGAAGTAAGATATATTATCCTCATCTTTGGAGATATTCACGACAACTTGACTAAATCCCATCTTTTAGAGCAGCACTACAGAGACCTTGTCAAATTACCAGAATAAATTTACTGTACTGACTATAATGCAGCCTCCTCTTACAAAGTAATTATCTTCCACTATTTCCCCTCTAAAGAACTGTCAGAAACTAGACCTCCTTATATTAGGAAGAGGTTAGCAGATAGGGCTAACATTCCAGGAGATCCCAGAAGAGTCTTAATCATAGAACAATCTAGGTTCATGCCACTAACAAAAAAGAAAGGAATATGAGAGGTATGAGTTAATCTTTCTTATAACCTGACACTGTGATTTTTCTAAAACAATTCAGGCATTTTATGAAAGCATATTCTCATGGATACAGAATTTCTCATAATTTCATACCGTTACTAGTATCCAAAATATATATTCATTTAAAAGTTTATCTCAGGTGAATTTCCCACCAAAAATTTCTTTATTCTAGAAAAATCATTAAATTTGTTAACCTGGACACTATTATTTCAATAAGTTTATACAAGACAAGCGCAATGGTTTATAATATATTCTATAACTATTGCTTAACTTACTTTCCATTGATGACACCATCTGGATTTAGCATAGGCACAATTTTAAAAATATACGATTCTCGTAAGCTCTGAGCAGTAGGGTTATTGCTCATGAGATATTCCAATGTTCCTTTCATAACCCAACTTGCATTAGTTTCTCCAGGATGTACCCGAGCAGATAAGAAAACATAAGGGCGATTTCCTAAAGTACACATAAAATCTCAAATTAAAATGAACAGCTACTAAAAGTTTGTATATTTTACTTTGGGGCTTTAGAAATGTCTCTAATTCAATTGTGAAATCTGATATAAATTAATAGAACTCAATGGTGCATCATACAAGCACTGCACTAGGCCCTATAAAAGAAACAAATATAAAATCAATAAAACCATATCCCGAAGGAGCTCATAATAGGACATAAAACAGTAAGTAGTATTTGATCCACTTATTTATTTCCCAATGACTAATTTAACATGTAAAATTAGTTACTTAATGTCATGTTGATTTTATAAAGAACAAGTACTTGGGGGAAGTTTAAAATATAAAACTATTTTTCATAAAATCATGGGGAAAAGAAAGAAAATATAATTTTAGCTGTCTTATAGTTGCTCTGATAAGCATAGAGAAAAAAGTGTATCTGCTCAGCAATTTACCCCCCAAAATTTCACTATACATTTAGATATACAAGTCTACAAAATAATCATTCAGCTCATCACTCATATTTTCATACATAATATGCTCTTTCTGTTTCCTGAAAATACTTTGCCTTCTTATCAAAATTGGAACAGTTTTATTTTTATTACTACAGCTGTACATTTGAGGCAATTTAAAAAATATAAATGGCAGGGGAAAATGAGTAGCTATTCAGTGCTATCTATCAAAACAACTGATAGGTTTCTGGTTGTTTTATTTACAAGTAAAATCAGTCCATTTCTAAACTGATAGTATTACTACATGGACTCTTAAAATAATTTGTTGTATTCTACTTTGAATACAATTTCTAAGGATAAGAACTAAATGATAGTAGCAGCAAAAGAGATCTCAGAGAACATCTCATGTAGCCCCTTATTTTTAGGATAAGAAAATTGAGGCCCAGAGGTAGGCCCATGGCTGGACAATAACAGGGCCAAGACTAGAGCCCAAGTCTTCTGATGTATGTTCCTATTATTATTTCCATTATAAAATGGAGAGAAAGCAAATCAAAGTAGGTGAGAATGACTGCTATTGTGAGTAAGGAAGACAGACTTACTGAACTGACAGATATGTTCATAATAATTAGACTCTGGCATTGCTGTTATAGTCACCAAGGGGCAGGTGTTTCCAGACAGGGTTTCACATAACACATCTTTCCGAAAATAGATTTGCTGAGGATTGTGTGCGGATTCCAATTTTTGAAGATGCATCTTGATAAAAATTTTAAAACAAAGTATACAATCACTTAAAAAGTCCCTATGATATACAGAAATAATGCATCCAGATCTCCACATAACTAGAATTGAATCAGATTCTTAACCCCTTATCCAAAACCCTCAGGGCCAGATGTAATCTAAACATCATTGTTTGGGAAACCTGAGAAAGGCGATACATTGTTTAAGTCATTAATTATGCAGCACCACCAAGGGGGTCAGGGTTGCAATCTGTAATACAAACATTATTTGTGCAGCAAAACATATGAAGAATCACCCTAAGTGGAATCAATATTCTAAATAAACTCAGGTCAGGCTTTGCCTCCAAATAAGTTCCAAAAAACCTTTTGGCTTTCAAAGCCTTCTGAATTTTGAAATTGTAAGTGATTATAAGCCTGTAACAGCAACAATCTAAAGTTTGAAGAATAAAAATTATGTAGCACAAATTTTAACAATTTATTTTCCTGATTTCAAGATTAATATGGGTTTATTGTAAAATGTCTAAAGAAAAACTACAAAAAAAATTTTAATGTTTTAAAGATTTAAAACTTCCATAACTGCACCACCTGTATTACTACTAACACAATGTATATAAGCAAAATCATAATTACATAAGACTTTTATAACATGATTTTATCACTTAAAAATGTATACATACACACAAACACATATATATTTGTAATCATGAATACTATCCCACATCATTAAACATGTTAAAATGTGTATTTTTTGAAAACACAAGTTTTAATGGTCATATTATCTGGCTATACCAAAAATAAATAGTTCAATCCCTTATTTTTAGATATTTACTTGGTTTTCAAACATTTGCCTATGTTCATTCACATCATCACTATTGACTGAGTGGTCACTACTTTCCAGAAACTGTGCAGGGCACTGGGAATATAACAATGAATAAATGAACCCCACCCTAGGGAAAATAGAGAGTGCTATGAGAGCCTGTAATAAGAGCGGGAGAGCCTAGCCAAGTCTGGGCAGTGAGGAAATATCTTCTAGAGAAAACTATGTTTAAACTAAAATCCAAAGGATGAGTGAAGACACGGAGATGAGTACTTCAGGCAGAAGGAAAACTATTAAGAAGACCATAAGACAGAACAGTGCATTTCAAAGAATTCTGTAAGATTCATTATAGCTACAAAGGTGAGAAACGAAAAATCTGTCACAGAATGAAGGGCCTGGTAGACAGGTCTTCCCCAAAGCATAGTATACCAACAACTGGTAATTGAGATAACTAAGTGATATGTAGATAACCATTTTAAAACTTTAATAGGTATATGTTTTATGTGAATTAGAAAAAAGTCTAGTACATTAAACTTTTCATGGATTTCACAGATACTGAGAATGAGGATACAATTTAAATGATTTCATGGATATTGAGGATGAGGATATACTTTAAAAAGTAATCTATTTTAAAGTCTATTTAAAGATAAATAATTGTTCAAATAGTAGGTGGATATGGCAAAAGAAAAAAAAAGTGGAGGGGCATTAGTAGAGAAAGGAAAGGGTGAACCATCATAAGAATTTTAGACTTCATACAAAGGGCAAGAGAAATCACTAAAGAGTTTTAAGCAGGGTATTTTATTATAAGATTAGCTATTAAAGAGCCCTTTGGCTATAGTCTGGGGGGTGGGGGGAACTAATGAAGAGCAAAGGAGGCAAAACTGAATCATAGAACACCAGTTACAAAGAGGTTGGCAGAAGGCCAGGTGAGAAACAATGGTCGTGCCTGAAAAACATCATGCTAAGGGATTGAAAGAAAGCAGAATTTAAAATATATTAAAAGGCACAATCAGTAAAGAACAATAACATAAAACCAGGCAAATATAAACAGTAAAAATATATTTGTATGTGCATTCTTATTTGTTTTCTTAGGAAAAATTACCAAAAAGTAGAAATACTAAGTTGGCACAGAAAGATACACGAACACTATACCTTTATAGTAAGTTATAACCTTCATTAAAGTACAGTAAGGCTCATTTAATGTTGTCAGCCTCATTTAGTATTCTTAAGGGTTTGATATCCCTTCTGCTCTATGGACTATGTTTTCTTTCATGTTCTCCTCTCTAATAATTTGGGAGCTTACTTCTTTATTTTTTGAGACGGAGTTTCGCTCTTGTTACCCAGGCTGGAGTGCAATGGCGCGATCTCGGCTCACCGCACCCTCCGCCTCCCGGGTTCAGGCAATTCTCCTGCCCCAGCCTCCTGAGTTGCTGGGATTACAGGCACGCGCCACCATGCCCAGCTAATTTTTTGTATTTTTAGTAGAGACGGGGTTTCACCATGTTGACCAGGATGGTCTCGATCTCTTGACCTCGTGATCCACCCGCCTCGGCCTCCCACAGTGCTGGGATTACAGGCTTGAGCCACCGCGCCCGGCCCGTTCCAATTTCTTTATTGGTAAATTGATCACACCCTCATGATCCTTGACCATTAGAATAGACATTCTGCTCTGAGAGTAAATCTATCACGGTTGATATTTAATTACTGAACTTTGTTCTGTTTTACAATGCAAATATTCAAAATCTCAAATGGTCTCACACAAAATAACTCTTATGCCCCAGATTTTTAGAAATCTGGATCTAGGTCTCCATAATGAAACCATTTCTTTCAGAAAAAGATCTCAATTTTTCCTTCAGAAAAACTCAAATTGCATCCAAATTTTTCTAATATTCTATTTTCTACGAGATTCTGTTTAAACATGCAGAAATCTCACCTGGTTAAAATTTGTAAATCATAGAATCTTAGCTTAGAGAACTGTGGATGTCAACAAAAGATGGGAAATAAAAATCATGTCAAAGTTCCTTAATATTTCTATTAAAAAAAACACACATTCCCATTTTACTCCTCAAGAAATTTCCAAAATCTTCAACACTAAACCCTTTTCTTATGATAGTTAACTAAATTTTCCTTATATTAGGATATTTAAACTCAATTATTATCATTATCCTTAAGTTAGAATATTTAATTAAACTCAATTTTCTTCCATTATCTTACACATATCCATCTAATACAATTTAATTTAGAATTCTTACCTGTAAAGTTGAATATGTATATGGATAGTGATAAGCAAAGTAGCAAACATCATCTTTATGTGGAAAAGTGACAGTAAACGTAATTGTATAGTAAGATTTTCCCTTTTGCCCACCTGCAGCAACTGAACTTCTTGAGAAATGATTTCTGCAATAAAAAAGCATAAAACATTTTCATTTCATCCACACAAAAACTGATTTTCCTTGCTACTTTTATTAAATAGAACTTCAGGGAAAAAAAGAAAAACCCAAGTCTGTAAAAAGCTTACCTTAAATATCCTATTTAAAAAAAAAAAAAAAAAACTTAGTACTAATAAAGCAGTTGACTATTAGTCAATCACATTACATTACTTTTCACTTCCAAATTTACTAATTAAATGATCTAATACTCTTTACATCAAAAAAAACTTTTAGAACCCCGTTCTTTGACATCCATACACATTACTGGATCTAGAAGATGATCATCAATGGCTGCTACAATCAGGAGATGAAAGGCTGGTGGACAACTTTACGTGGATCAGGCTACAAGACCCGGGTTCACTAATCAATCTTAAGATTACAAAAAGAGAAACAATCAAAAATGATGTTTCATTGCACCACCAATTAAGTATTCTTGCCAAAAATCAAACCTGAAGTTGATCAACCTTCTAAATCTAATTACCAGTTTATAGGAAATTGGTGAGACAGAAATACTTGTTAACACCACAGGGGTGCAATCCAATAAAATCCAAATGTGAAAAACCCTACATGACAATCCAACTTTAGTGAATGAGTGACAAATTTTAAAAAAGAGAGAAAAGAAAAGGGAAGCCTATAAATTAACAGAGACTTAAGAGACATGTCAACAAAAATCAAATGCAATGTGTGATCCCTGGCTGGATTTTGATTAAATAAAAACCATAAAACAACATTTAGAGGCAATTGGAGAAGTTTGGACATTGGATATTTCATCACAGTAAAAAATTTGCTTAATTTTTCTGTGTTACAATAATGGCATTGTGGTTAGACTGCCTTAAAAGGCCTTTGTCTTTTAGAAAAACATATGTTAAGTATGCATGACTAAAATACAATATCTGAAAATGGCCTTAAAAATTCAGTGTGGAAGTAGGAGTGAAAGTATAGCTAAAACAAAACTCACCATGTGTTGATAATTGTTGAAACTGGGTGATGAATATATGGGGCCTCATTATCTTATTCTATGTTTTGTAAATGTTTGAAGATTTCCATAATAAAGTTTTAAAAACTACACATTACTCTCCAGAATCTAAATATTGCTGACATATGCTGACTTAAAGATGCTCTATCAACTTATTTCTAAAATTCTGAATCATCTGTATTATTTAAGCCATGAAATGAAGAAAACCCAAGGCCTAAAGGTTATTTTTTCATGTACATAAATGTTCAAAGTATTTTCAAATTGATATAGTCTTCATTAATTTATTCACAGTATCTTGAATAGATACCCAATGACACAGTGCTAAGGATTAACAAAAATGCAAAACAAGTTCAAAAACTAGTCCTTGCCAACTCTTTTCCCTCAAAAGTTTAACATTTAATTGGAGAGGTATTTGTATAACATTATAGCTATCTGGCAGTTTCTAGGTTATAAACCGGTAAGACATACATTATCTCATATAATGGTGAAAAGCAGTTTTAATCCATTTTATAGATAAGACAAGCATCACAGGACTTAGCTGACATAAAAAGTTAAAGCACAATGCAAAAGCAGACTTTAATCCTTATCATCTAAATTTCAGGGCGGGCACTTTTGTTCACGCCTGTAATCCCAGCACTTTGGGAGGCTGAAGCAGGTGGATCGCAACATGGTGAAAACCCGGTCTCTACAAAAAAGACGAAATTAGCCAGTTCTCAACTATAGTCCCAGTTACTCAGGGAGCTGAGGTGGGAGAATCACTTCAGCCTGAAAATGATGACATGCTCTTGAGGCTGCAGTGAGCCAGGATTGCACCACTGCTCTCCAGCCTGGGCAACAGAGCAAGACTGTTTCAAAAAAAAAAAAAAAAAAAACGAAAATTAAAATAAATAAATCTATCTCAGGTTTCAGGAAAACAACTAGAATAGGGTCTTATACAGAAAGCGGCTAATAAGGCTGGGTGCAGTGGCTCAGGCTTGTAATCCCAGCAGTTTGAGAGGCCAGCGTGGGCAGATCACAAGGTCAAGAGATCGAGATCATCCTGGCCAACATAGTGAAACCCTGTCTCTACTAAAAATACAAAAAGTAGCTGGGCATGCTGGCGCGTGCCTATAGTCCCAGCTACTCAGGAGGCTGAGGCAGGAGAATCGCTTGAACCCAGGAGGCTGAGGTTGTGCACAGTGACCCGAGATCACACCACTGCACTCCACCCTGGCAACAGAGCAACACTCCATCTCAAGAAAAAAAAAAAAAGAAAGAAAAGAAAGTGGTTAACAAATGTTTGTTGAGTTGAACTCCGCTTCCAGATCAGGAAGTAGTAGCCAAAGGAAACTAAACTAAAAAAATAAAATCCTTGCCATCACCCCTTACATAGACTAGAACAACTTGTCCTGCTACGACCATTCATTTTGCAATGTGAAAAAGCATTTACTGATTGACAATTTCTAATGTGAAACAATAAAAATGCATGAAAGAAACAATACTTTTTGAAAAACATTGTTTCACTCTTTAATAGTCTAAATAATTCTGCTAAAATCTAGGAAGCACTGCCCAGTAATTACAGCTTCAACCAACTTTATGAGAAAGGGACAAGTGATCAAAGAGATTTTTTATATTAGTCTACCATTAAAAGAAATACAAGATGTATTATGGTGCAGATGAATTACATATTACCTTTACTTCTGTTTCTCATTTATTTGCTATTTATTTCACTAATAAGAGTAAGGAAGAAATCTTACTGAGATGGATCCCAAGGAACATTTTCTTTCCCAGAAAGTAAGACTACTTAAGATCAAGTTTTTTCCAAAGCCATGTCAAAAGTTTAATTTTAGAAGCCTTCTTCTAATTGGTAAAGCTAAAAGAGGGGCATTAGTGCCAGTTAAGCACAATCTAAAAAGTCAAAATTCACTATACAGAAATGTCAGGATTGAAATCAATAACAGAGAAGATCCAGGGGTGCCAAGTGGAATCAACAGTGAACATTACCTGAAAACATTTGCAGACACAGTGTAAAAAGGAAAAGGAAGATACGTGAGAATCCTCAAGTACTTAGAGGTGGAGCCGAAGAACAACCAAACTATTCCACAGAAGTAAATGATTTCTAGCACTTAGTATTATTTATTTATTTATTTTTGAGATGGAGTCTTGCTCTATCAACCAGGCTGGAGTGCAGTAGCACAATCTTGGCTCACTACAACCTCCCCTCCTCAGTTCAAGCAATTCTCTTGCCTCAGCCTCTCGAGTAGCTCTGATTACAGGCGTGCAGCACAATGCCTGGTTAATTTTTGTATTTTCAGTAGAGACAGGTTTCACCATGCTGGCCAGGTTGGTTTCAAACTCCTGACCTCAGGTGATCCGCCCACCTCAGCCTCCCAAAGTGCTGCGAGGCAGGCGTGAGCCTCTATGCCTGGCCTCTAGCACTTACTTCAAACTTGCTAAGTAGATCACGTATTTACAGTCAAAGATGAACCATGTAAGCTGATGTACTGTATTTAGAACACATCTCCAGTTAACATTTTGGAAATTAAAATGAGGCAAACATTTGTGTATTAATATAAAAAGGGAAAAGATAAGAGTTATACTTGATATCATAGGAAAAATAAAAAGCCACTGCAAATTATTACTCATAATTTCTAATTTCAGTTTTATTCAATAAGGTTTCCAGAGTTTTAAAGCTGGAAAAGCTGAGGACACATAACTCCCTAAGTGGTGGAGACACAGCCTGGACCTAAGTTTGTCTGCCTACACAACACATTTTACTTCTACTGTGTACACTCCATAAGTGGATCTCAAGTTCTAAAGCACTCTTTAGAATTACTAAAGCATAGCACCACAATTCAAAGTATGCGGTAATAACTCTATTTCCTTTTACACTGAAACAGAATGTACTCAATATCATCTTCTGTAAGCTGATGTTCTATTAATATTATTCTTAAAATACTTACTTATAGTAACAAATGTCAGTCCCCATACGAATCCACCATGGTCTGCCATTTAATGCTTCCTGAACCGAATACATGAGTGGTTGCATACCTTTCAAAAAAAGAGAGACAGAGAAAAAAAGAGAAAATTCTTTTCAGAATTTTTGAATTAAAAATTAATCTTCCCTTTGTAGAAGGCACCAAACATTCAAGAAAGCTGAAATAAATTACATTCCAGTTATTTAGTATGTATTTTAAAAATCTGATGCATTTCTTAAACATCCCAAGTCAATCAATGGTATGCTTTTATTTTTTAGTTTAATAATACAGGATTACAACTTTAGAGTGAAAAGTCATTAAACTCTTTTCTATTAAATTTCTACATGAAATCAATTAAAGATAACATATTCCTTATAAAAAGTGAAACAAAAAATATGTAAGACATAATGTATAATCACCCCTCTAACTCTCCGTGGATTTCCATCTACACTGAAGTTAATGGGAAAATGCCACCAAAATGGTATGTTTGCTTTCTTCCCCACTTTTCCCCATACATGTTTGTGTTTGTAGGAGACAAGAGGACGAGGGACTATTAACCAAAATATAGAGTATATTTTCTTGGGTATTCTTAGAAATATATTTTCCACATGAACTTTAAAATCATCTTACCTAACTTCTAAATGATACACTAGGTTTCTAAATGGAATTGAATTAAATTTATGTGAAGTACAGAAAGGTTGACAATTTTTATTGAGATCTGGTTTGACTTTCCTTAAATTCTAACTTAATGATAGAATCATTTTATTTTCCTGGTACAGAATAATTTTATTAAACTTATCTGTGAGTATTTTTATAAGATTCTTTTTTTCCTTTCCATTTCTGACTGGTTATTCCAACAATGAAGCACTATTCATTTATTGTTTTGTAATTCTCTTAATATTCATGTTATTGAATAAACTCACTAATTATAACAGGTTTTTAGTAGTCTCGTGGATTTTCTAGGAATATAATTAAAATATTTCATCTCCTTTTCTAATATTTATATCATTTATTTCATTTTCTACTCCATTTAGATAAATGAAACCTCAAAAAAATTATGCTGAATATAGTGATAAGAACAAACAATTCTCTTTCATGACTTTAATCAAGACGTTTTGCCATTCCATGTAATATTTGTCACTTTTCTGCAAATCAACTTTGTCAGGCTTAAATAATAAAAAATAGCTAACAATGAATAATTTCTGTATATGAAACACTATTCTGTTTTTATATGTATTATGTAATTAAATCCTCACAGCCACCTTTAGGTGGTAAATGCTTTTATTATTATCATTACTTGAGTAGTTTCATCATAATTTTTGTTATGCTTCAGTTTTAATTAACTTATCAAATGCCTTTTCAACATCTAATAACAATCAGATGGCTTTTCTCCTTTAAACTGCTGATGTAATAAATCACATTGGTAGGTTTCCTATTGTTGAACTATCTTTGCATTCCCAGAAAATGCTGCTCTATTAACACTATGAGACCAAGTTTGCTAGTATTTAGAATTTTTGCATTTAAATTCTTAAGATGATCTTTCTTACTTCAATTTACTTTTACCACGTATTGGTAAAGATTATACTAGCTTCAGAAAAGTAAATTTTAAAACTTCCATCATTTATTAGAGTAAATAATAAAACGCACCATTTATCTTTTAAAGGATAAATATAATTCATCTGGAATACCATGTAAATATGGTGACTTTTTAATAAACATATTTTTTTTTAATTTCCTTCCTTCCTTCCTTCACTCCTCTCTTATTTCTTTTTAAAATGGAGATGGGTCTCACTATGTTGCCCTAGCTGGTCTTGAACTCTTGGCCTAAAGTGATACTCCCACTTCAGCCTCCTAAAATGCTAGGATTATGCTGGCTGGCATGAGCCACTGCACCTAGCCCACTTTTGGTATTTCCATGACTTATATCTAGATATAAAAATGGTTTATATATTTTTAGCATTTATATGTAATAATTTTTTAATCATTCTCTTACTTTCTTTTGGTTTATTTTCTTTTTTTTTTTTTTGAGACACAGTCTTGCTCTGTCACCCAGGCTGGCATGCAATGGTGCAACCTCAGCTCACTGCAACCTTGGCCTCCCAAGTTCAAGTTATTCTCCTGCCTCAGCCTCCCGAGTAGCTGGGATTACAGGTGCTGCCACCATGCCCAGCTAATTTTTGTATTTTTAGTAGAGATGGGGTTTCACCATGTTGGCCAGGCTGGTCTTGAACTCCTGACCTCAAGTGATCTGCCCACATCGGCCTCCCAAAGTGCTGCGATTACAGGCATGAGCCACCGCGCCTGGCCTATTTTCTTATTTTTTCTAATTTCTTAAGTTGGGTGCTTATTTTCAGTCTTTTTCATTTTAAATAATGTAAGTTACTAAAAGTTTTCAGTTTCCCTCTGAATACCAGTTTAGCTCTAACCCATCTAAGTCTGAAATGCTCTCCCTTGCACTTTCTAGCTGTCCCACTGAACTTTCTGCGAGCATGGAAATGTTCTAAATCTGCACTGCCCAATGTGGCAACCACTAGCCACAAGTGGCTATTAAGTACCAGAAATAAGCCCAGCTCCAATGAAGAACTGAATTTTTTATATTAAATTATAATTAATATAAATTTAAATAGTCATATGCAGCTGGTACAGGACAGCACAACTCTAGATAATTTGTAGCATTTGTTTTAAATTATACCTACTGATTTGTTAAAGAAGTTATTATGTAATTTCCAAGTACACATTTTTAATTCAGTTTATTTTTACTAATATTTTGAATGAAATATCTGTAGAATTTTAAAAATCATCAATAAGTTTTCTTTGTAGCAAAATGTATAATGAAGTCGTAAATGTTTCATGAACATAAAGATAACTTATACTTCTATAAAGAAACTGAAAAACTGAATAACAATTCTATGTAATTACATTATGATTTTGTACATATAGTTCACTGCAAAGCCAAGGTGTTGGCTTTTCAAAAGAAAATGTTTCCAGGGTCCAGTTCAAATAAATTATTTCATATACTTCATCAAATATTCCAACTTATATGACATTTTAATTTGTTTTACACTTGTAGTGTGACTTTTTTGCATTTTTTCATTGTTTTATCCTTTTATAGGAGAATTCATGAGCCTTTTTCCCAATGTCCCTAAGTTTTTGGTTTCTTTATCATGTTATATCATTTCTTAGAATCCAGACTACTTTTTTTTAAGTATATTTCCAAGATACCACCAACTTATAATTCTAATTTGGATGAGTTGCTTTCTAAGAAATCTCAGATTTCATTCTGTTATTTTTTCATCCTGTTATTTCTTTTCACTGGACTCCCAGATGAGTACCACTTTTTCTTGTATCTCACATCTCCCTCTCAGATTTCCAATGGGATCCTAGTGAATCAAAAAATCAAGCTTGTTGATTATATTATTCAAATTCTCTACAGCCTTACTTATTTTTGTTTTCTTGGTATATCAGATTCTGAAAGGAGTATTTAAATTCTCATGTTTTCTAATCAAGTTCATTTCTTGCAGCTGTTTGCCCTGCTTATGTAGGTGCTATGTGGCTAGGGTTGTTATGCTGTATAAAGGTTTACAGCATCTTCAAGGACTGCAACTTGTAAATACAAAATATCTGTCTTTATGCAAGTCAGTGTTTTTGACCTTGACGTTTTTGTCTAACACTATTTATCTTTTCTAGATGGAGTCTCACTCTGTTGCCCAGGCTGGAGTGCAATGGTGCAATCTTGGCTCACTGCAACCTCCACCTCCTGGGTTCAAGCGATTCTCCTGCCTCAGCCTCTCAAGTAGCTGGGGACTACAGGCACGTGCCACCCACACCCAGCCAATTTTTCTATTTTTTGGTGGAGATGGGGTTTAACCATGTTGCCATGGCTGGTCTTGAACTCCTGACCTCAGGTGATCTGCTCACCTCAGCCTCCCAGAGTGCTGGGATTACAGGTGTGAAAGCCACCATGTCTGGCTGACTGACACTAATATTAACTACTTTTGCTTTATTTTCATTTTATCTGCCTAGTTTATCTTTGCCCAATCATCCATTTTCAACCTTGTCACTGCACACACACACACACACACACACACACACACACACACACACTGGGTTGGGGGCAGAGAGACAGACACCCCACTACACTGTGTAACTTTCAATATCTGACGTTTTGAGGGTACTTCACACAGTTTATTCATAGTTGGTGATGATGGATATACATTTCACTTTATTCCTTCCATCTTATTTTCTACTTCTGGTATCAACAAATGGTTTTTTTTCTTCTTTACCTTTATTTTTATTGGTTTGGTTGCATTGCTCCACATTTTCTTTTATTCCTTAATTTGGAAGCTTTCTATCATGCTTTTCAATTCTGCTTTTCCACCTTCATAGTCACAATTAATTGATATTTTTCTAACATTATACTAAATTAAATAACTAAGGCATCCCACTGAGACAAGTTAACTTTCACTTTTCCTATATTACCCCCTTCAGAATATTTTTGGTTAATATGTTTTACAGGTTCCAATACTTCTATCTTGAGACCTTTTACTCATTGATTTTATTCAGAGAAAGATCAGGGCCGGGCGCGGTGGCTCACGCCTGTAATCCCAGCACTTTGGGAGGCCGAGGCGGGTGGATCATGAGGTCAAGAGATCGAGACCATCCTGGTCAACATGGTGAAACCCCGTCTCTACTAAAACTACAAAAAATTAGCTGGGCATGGTGGCACGTGCCTGTAATCCCAGCTACTCAGGAGGCTGAGGCAGGAGAATTGCCTGAACCCAGGAGGCGGAGGTTGCGGTGAGCCGAGATCGCGCCATTGCACTCCAGCCTGGGTAACAAG